CCCCTCTGCCCCCTACCTTGCCATGTCCTCCTCCTCTTCCTCCTCCTCCTCCTCCTCCGCCTCCTCGACCTCGTCCCTCGAGGCTTCGTTCTCCGCAGCCTCCTCCGGCACCGGAGTGACACGCCACAGGCAAAATAACTCCGAAGCTAACTTCCGACTTTTTCCTCCGGACCCAGACAAGACCTTCCCCGAGCCACGGTCCCTGGGGCCGGAAGCGCGCTCAGTTGGCAGCGCGCGCACGGAGCTCGTCAAAGACGCATGCGTTTGTGAACGCTCCCGGGGCGAGCCAAAGGAGCCAGTGATCGCTCTGTTGGGGAAGCCTGGGAACCCGTTGCCACAGCTGGACTCGCCGAGGGCCGAGGCAGAGCACAATGGAACCCCGAGGGCCCATGGCTGGGCGGAGCCTGGGTGGGAGTGCCGCGTCCTGCTCGCACAGCACCGATTCTTCGAGCCAGCGCCTGGGCAGCCGTGACCCCCCAGATTAGCTCAAGCACGAAAGAACAGGTTCTTCGAGCCAGCGCCGGGGCAGCCGTGACCCCCCAGGTTAGCTCAAACGTAAGAGAACACATGCTACGAACCAGCGCCGGGGCAGCCGTGACCCCCCAGATTAGCTGCAGCTTGTGCTCGGAATGCCCCTGGAACGACGCCTGGGCGGAGCCTGGGTGGGAGTCCCCTGTAAAACGGATACAGAACCGATTCTACGAGCCAGCGCCGGGGCAGCCGTGACCCCCCAGATTAGCTCAAGGACGAAAAAACATGTTCTACGAGCCAGCGCCGGGGCAGCCGTGACCCCCCAGGTTAGCTCAAACGTAAAAGAACACATGCTACGAACCAGCGCCGGGGCAGCCGTGACCCCCCAGAGTAGCTGCAGCTTGTGCTCGGAATGCCCCTGGAACGACGGCCTGGGCGGAGCCTGGGTGGGAGTCCCCTGTAAAACGGATACAGAACCGATTCTACGAGCCAGCGCTGGGGCAGCCTTGACCCCCCAGGTTACCTCAGGCACGAAAGAACAGGTTCTTCGAGCCAGCGCCGGGGCAGCCGTGACCCCCCAGGTTAGCTCAAACGTAAGAGAACACATTCTACGAACCAGCGCCGGCCTGTGGTCTGCTGCTGCGCAGCAGACCACAGGCTCCCCTTCGATGGAGAAGAGGAGGAACCCGTGCGGTGGTTGATCGTTTTTGGGTTCAGTGTCGCTCCCCCTCGAGACATCCTCACAACTCCAGCGCCTCCGCTGGAGACATCCTCACAACTCCGGCGCCCAAAGGGAGAGGGGGGGGGGGGGGGGGGGGGGCCGCCCCCTTCGTCCCCCCCTTCCTCCCTTTCATGCGCCGGAGAAGGGGAAGGGGAGGGCCCAAAAAGAAACGGGAGGAATGGGGGAGAAGAAGGCCCTTTTCCCCCCCTTCCCTCCTTCACGCGCGGGTGGGGGGTGGGGGGGGGGGGGGGGGCCTTTGGGCCCCCCCCCCCTGGATTTTTCACGCTGGGCAGCCCTGACCCCCCAGGTTACTTCAGGCACGAAAGAACAGTTCTTCGAGCCAGCGCCCGGGCAGCCGTGACCCCCCAGTTAGCTCAAACGTAAGAGAACACATTCTACGAACCAGCGCCGGCCTGTGGTCTGCTGCTGCGCAGCAGACCACAGGCTCCCCTTCGATGGAGGAGGGGAGGAACCCGTGCGGTGGTTGAGCGTTTTTTGGTTTAGTGTCGCTCCCCCTCGAGACATCCTCACAACTCCAGCGCCTCCGCTGGAGACATCCTCACAACTCCGGCGCCCAAAGGGAAGGGGGGGGGGGGGGGGGCGCCCCCTTCGTCCCCCCCTTCCTCCCTTTCATGCGCCGGAGAAGGGGAAGGGGAGGGCCCAAAAAGAAACGGGAGGAATGGGGGAGAAGAAGGCCCTTTTCCCCCCCTTCCCTCCTTCACGCGCGGGTGGGTGGGTGGGGGGGGGGGCCCTTTGAGCCCCCCCCCCCTGGATTTTTCATGTGGGGGGGGGGGGGGGGCAGGCCCCCCCCTTTGAGGCCCCCCCCCCTGGATTTTTTATGTTGTCTATCGCTCTTACAAACATGCTTCCACGACACCCCAATACGCCCCCAAGAGGTTCCAATGCGGCCCAAAGACTGCCACAACCCGAGCAGCTCTCATGGGGGCCTGCGGAATGGCGAAAGCCTTTTGAGTACATGTTGTCATCGACGCTTGGGGGGGGGGATTCGACTCGTTTCCAACGTGTTCCAAAGCGCCAGCGCAGCGCCTCATTGCATGCACGGCGGCCCAAGGGTAGGGGAGGGATGGGAGGGATGGGAGGGGGGCAGGGAGGGAGGGGATGGAGGCAGGGATGGGGGCGGAGGCAGGGAGGGAGGGGAGGGAGGCAGGGAGGGGAGGGGAGGGAGGCAGGGATGGGAGGGAGGGGGGGGGGGGGGGCAGTGGAGAGCGGGGCAAGGGATGGATGGGGAGGGAGGCAGAGGGGAGCGGGGTCGGAGCGGGAGGGAGAGGAGCAGAAAAGGGGGGGGGGCGCTCAGGGGAGGGAGGCATGATTGGACGAGAAGGGGAGGGAGGCAGAAAGAGCAGGAAGGGATCGGAGTAGGGAGGACGAGTAAGAGGAGGGGAAGGAGGAACACGAGACAGCGTAGGACGAGAGGGGCGGGGGGGCTCTCCACCCACCCGTATCGCCCCCTCCTCCACCATTTCCCGTGTCTCGTCCTCCCCCCTTCTCCCTCTCACCTCCCCGCCGTCGTTTTTCCCCATTTCTAAGAAACGCTCCGCCTGCGCGGGGCGCGTCAGACTGATCTGTGCAACGCAACGCCCAGCCGGGCAACCAAACACCCACAGGTAAGCTGAGGAGCACGCCCTCCCCCCAGATGCTGGTCAACAATTACTCACTTCGTGGAGCTCCCCATATGTGCATCACATGATTTATATTATGCCGTAGTGAGCGTCTGTTCATGAGCGCTTGACTCTACTAGCCCGTTCACGTTGGCGACGGGCCCGACGAAGACGAGCGCATCCTGATGCGAGTGAGTATGAGTCAGAATGAGCTGAGTATGGTTGAACATGAGCCTCTTCATCTTCACTCCCCCTCCTCAGCTGCCAGGCCGTGCCCTCCTCAGCCTGCGGTAACTTCGGAGCTTCCCAGATGTGCATACTCTTACTCCTCCTCCTCCTCCTCCTCTTCCTCCCCCCCGTTTCCCCCCTCCTCAAAATCTGCTATGACAGCCAAGGACGTTGAGCATGAATACGAGCAAACCGCCTGAGACATCCCCACAAACTGGCCGCGAACGGGCCCGTGATATACCCCCTGGCGGCTCCCCTCAGGGGCGCTGAAACCAACGCCCCGCCTGAGACATCCTCACAATCTGCTATGAAAGCCAAGGGTGGTGGGCATGACAACTAGCAAACCGCCTGAGACATCCCCACAAACTGGCCGCGAACGGGCCCGTGATATACCCCCTGGCGGCTCCCCTTTGGGGCGCTGAAAACAGCGCACCGCCTTAGACATCCTCGCAATCTGCGATGCAAACCAAGGATGTTGGGCATGAATACGAGCGAGCCGCCTGAGACATCCCCACAAACTGGCCGCGAACGGGCCCGTGATATACCCCCTGGCGGCTCCCCTTAGGAAAGCTGAAATCAGCGCCACGCCTGAGACATCCTCACAATTTGCTATGAAAGCAGAGGCTGTTGGGCATGGAAACGAGCAAACCGCCTGAAACATCCCCGCAAACTGGCCGCGAACGGACCAGTGATATACTCCCTGGCGCCCCCCCCCCCCCCCCCCCCCCCCGCCACACACACACACACACACACACACACACACACACACACACACACACACACACACACACACACACACACACACACACACACACACACACACACACACACACACACACACACACACACACACACACACACACACACACCACCCCCTTAGGGGTGCTGAAACCAACGCCCCGCCTGAGACATCTCCACAATATGCTATGAAAGCCAAGGGTGTTGGGCATGAGAACGAGCAAACCGCCTGAGACATCCCCGCAAACTGGCCGCGAACGGGCCCGTGATGCACCCTCTGGCGGCTCACCTTAGGGGTGCTGGAACCAACGCCCCGCCTGAGACATCCTCACATATCCTCACAATCTGCTATGAAAGCCAAGGATGTTGGGCATGAGGAGCGAGCAAGCCGCCTGAGACATCCCCAAACAACTGGCCGCGAAGGGGCCCGTGATATACCCCCTGGCGGCTCCCCTTAGGGGCGCTGAAACCAGCGCCCCGCCTGAGACATCCTCACAATCTGCGATGAAAGCCAAGGATGTTGGGCATGCAAACGAGCAGACCGCCTGAGACATCCCCACAAACTGGCCGCGAACGGGCCCGTGATATACCCCCTGGCGGCTCCCCTTAGGGGTGCTGAAACCAGCGCCCCGCCTGAGACATCCTCACAATCTGCCGTGCGTTGAGTAACTCAGATTCTGAGAAGGTCTGAGTATGTGTGGGTCTGAGTATAAGTAAGTCTGTGTATGAGTACGTCTGGGTATGAGTAAGTCTGAGTATGAGCAAGCCTGTGTATAAGTAAGTGTGTGTATGTGTACGCCGGGGTATGAGTAAATCTGAGTATGAGTACGTCTGAGTATGAGAATGTCTGAGTATGCATAAGTCTGTGTATGAGCAAGTCTGGGCATGAGCAAGTCTGAGCACGAGTAAGTCCGACAGGAGGGGAGGACGAAGGAGGAGGAGGAGGGGAGGAGAGGGGGAGGAGGAAAGGGAGTAGGAGGCGTCCAAGTAACAACAAGAACCCTATCTTAGGATATGGGGAATTACCATGTATCACACCCCTCTTCTGGCATGCCACTATACTCAGGCAAGCCACACTAGTATGCCGACCTCCTCTTCCCACAAGAGCCCGAGGCGCGCACGGGTCGGCAGAGCTGCTGCCGACGACGAGCGGCCAACCGTGCACGGCGAGCCAGACGAAACAGGCCAGCCAGGGGCAGCGTTGAATGAGCTCATAGGCTCGCCTGGCTCGAGGACTGTTTCACCTCGGCCAGCCCCGTGAAAATGCCAAGCAGGGCGGTTGGGATCAGGGCCTTGCGCAGCTCACCCACCTGGCCCAAGTGCAGACGCAGGCGCCTCTTGAGCTTCAGGGGCGCTTCCGAGTTGTCCTTGCACGTGATAAGGGGCATGATCTCACTCTGGGTAGTAATGCCCCTGTCGAGCTGCTTCTGAATATTGTCCAAGGTGCCGTTCCTCTTCTGGCGGTGTCGCCGCGGGGGTCCCTGCTCATCTTGGCGGCCTGGAGTTTCGCACTGACGGTGGAGATCGCCTCTTTCAAGACAGACGGCCGCGCCTTCACGAACACTGGCTCCGCAGCCTTAAGGTACTCCTGCAGAGAAGCGTCGACGGCGACGCCGTCGTGCCAGATGCCGTTCTCCGTGCCGTTGGTGAGCAGGGCTGTGAAGTGCTTGTTGCACGCGGCCTCCGCGGCGTCGGCCTTCGCCTGGCAATCAAGATCCTTGATCTCGGAGGCGGTAGCGGCGACCTGGCCCGCCCAGCGGGTGGGGAACTCCAAGTTGACCTTCCCTTTTGCCTGAATGGCTCCACGAACGCGGGCTGTCTTGATGCCGATGCTTGCAACCCTTTTCTGCCCCCCCCCCCCCCCCCCCCCCTCCTCCACCCCGCCCCCGTCGCCTCCCTCTTGCACCCATGGGCCCAGCGGAGAATAGGTGGCGGGCCGCGGCGAAGGGGGGGCGAGCGGTGGACCGCTGCAAAGGGGCCGACAACACCGCCCACATCAGACCACCCCCCTTTCGCCACCGCCCGCCGCCCATCCCCATCTTAGGCCAGGGGCGCACGTAGGAGAGGGGGGATGGGAGAGCGCGAGCGCAAGCAACAGCGTCAGGAGAACCCGATGTTCGGGGGCAATGCGCCTCGGGCAGCACAGCGTGGGCGGTGGCGAAGTTCTTCACCATCCTCTGGCCATCGCTGGTGGCCATGCTCAACTCGGAGGTCGCGGCGATTTTCTTGAACATAATGACGGATGAGAGCTGCAACTCGACACCAGACAAGGTCGCGAGGGCAGCGAACAGCACCTTGACCTCTTCGGAAGGGTCCTTCACCAATGGGGACAAAGCAGACCCGATCTGGCAAGCCAAGCTTAAATACGAGATCACCTCACCACTCAGATGCGTGTCCTCACCAGCACCCAACGTATTCACCATCCTAAGAACGAATGAGACGATGCGCCCGCAGAGCTCCCCTGAGGCAGGGCCGACCCCGTAGTCGTTGTAGAGCTTCACCTGGCCGGTGGGCGACTCCAAGTTCTCAGTGCGGACCCCGCGCTCCGCGTCGACGTCGTGCGAGCCCAGGCATTTCATCATGATGTCGATGTGGGTGTCGATGTTGCGCTGCTGGGACACCTTGCACACGTGGCTGATGAGGGAATCCATACTAGGCAGCTGGAAGTCCATCTTAGTTGTGACCCCCACCAGCTCTTTCAGGTCGGAGCACCTATCGGTCGGGATGGTGTCCGCCTCGATGGCATCGGACACGCTACTCAACATGTCCATGGTCGCTTTCTCTGTCTTTGCTCTCAGCTCCGCGTCCTGACCCTTGCGCAGCTTGCCCCGCGATTCGAGGAGGAGGTTCCAAGCCTGCATGACGACGCCGATATGCTCCTCGAACCCGAACTTGGCAACCTTGCCCAGCTGGTCCATGGCGGTGTCGAAGCGAGGCAAGTAGACATCGCAGTCCTTGCGGCATCGGACAAACTCGCCAAGGAGCGCCTTTTAGTAGTTCACATGCTTCATGGCAGTCACGACGCTGAACAGCTGCTTGCCAGAGGCCCCCTCAGAGACGAGACGGTCGTAGTCCTTGGAGGAGGCGCTGACCTGCGTCACCTTGCTGAAATTCTGCTCCAGCACGAAGTAGGCACCCTTGAGGGTTGACATGACGCTGTCGGCGTGGTCCTCGCACGGCTCGAAGTCGATAGTTTCGTCGTCAGACGCCTGCTTAATCATTTCTAAGACAACAACGATGACCCCCTTGAATGACTCGTGGCCCCGCTCGCCATCCTTGATCATAGGCCCGAGGACCTTCGAGAGGATGGCGTCCTTCATCCTCTCCATCTTCTCGGCGGGGCTGCCCTCGATGTGCCGAGCCATGGGCGCCTCGGGGTCGAATCCATCTCCGCTGTCGCCCTGCACTGGCCAAGGCGCGATCATTCTCATGAGGGCGGGGAGCTTCGCCTCGATGCTATGCTGCAGCAAGGTCCAGTCTCGCAACGCCCTAGCAAAGCACGCCAACTTCGCATTCGTAGGCATGTCTACGTTCTTCAGTTTCAGCTTCCCGCAGAACTCGGAGAGCTCCTCAGACGACGCATTCAGCCACGCCTGATCGCTGCTGAACTGCTCGCATTGCTTGTGCAAGTCGTGGTGCTCCTGCATATCAACCGCTTCCGATCGACCCATGCTTTCGGCCTATCCAAAGTAGCCCTTCAGCGTGTTTCTCTCCCTGCCCACGCCTCCAGGCTGCTTCCCAGAGAGGGCCTTCAACAAGTTCAACTTCGACACCTGCAACAACCACTTCGCCTTGATAGGGCCGGACTGCAAGAGCTCGGATACATCTGAGAGGTCAGCCACGCCGTCACAAGCTGGGCTCGCTCTGGACTTCGCCCCCGATGCCTGCATGGCTGCGCTGCTTCTCGGCCCCGCCCTCTCGGGCGAGATGGGTGAGCTCATAGTCGCGTATGCGTGCCCAATCCCGCGGTCGTGGACGCCGTTCGCGCGCTGCTCGGTGTCGTCATTATCGGCCGAAGCGCCGTCCTGCCCAACACTCAGATTCCGCAACACTTCGATCTGCCCAGCAAGGTCCTCGTCGTTGTCTTCAGCCTCCTTGCGCGCCTTTTCTTCGGCGTCCTTCCTCTTCTTGGCGGCCCGTGACACCAGCGTCTCGAGGTCGACGACGGCGGATCCGCTTGGGTTGCTTTCGGCCGAGAAGACGCCCGACTCCTTCTGGTAGATCGTCTGACTGGGTGGCGTGGATGGCGGTCCCTGGACGACACAAGGAAGTGTTCGCCTCCAACCGCTTCGAGAACTCAATGACGAAAGTCCTCGGCGCTTCAAGGTCGGTCGTGAGGACGCCTGCGGTCGGGTTGCCGAACTCGTCCCACAAGTTGAAACACTTGCACCCGATCTGCTCTGGAAGGTAGCCGACTTTCGAGAAGACATCGGGGCGCGTCCAGAACCTCAGACGGCGCTGACAAGACGCCGATTGTCATGCACCGCGGTCAACGCAAGTAAAAGGGAACTTGTCCTGATCAAGCTCGAGCTGATCCACGAGCTGCGCCGCTCCGTCAAATGAAGCCTTGAACTCCGTGTCCGCGCCGTACTTCTCCCCAGCCTCCTCCTCCTTCATGTGGTTGTATCCGATTGACCACACCTTGTAGTGACTGGGGCAACAAATATTGTTCTCCGTCTTGTCCCTTGGCGTGGGCCGCTTGTTGCATGTAGCGAAGCAGCACGTGGTCCGACTCTGGCGAGCAATTCTAAGCTTCCTCTCCTCATCTTCCATCTCCTTCTGAGCTACTGACTCTCTACGTATGGTCCCGCACCCTGCAGCAGTCGCGAGAATGACGGCGGCCCCCAGGGAGACCGCGGAGCCAGCGTCGTCGGCGTCACGGCCACTGCTGGCTGCTCCGCCGCCCAGCTGTCGCTGGAAAGCTGTGCGAGCGAGCTTCTCCCTGGTAGTGCTCGCAAGGGCTCCCACCTGAGGTGCGATCGCGCTGACACTTGTATCGGGGCGGTTGCCGTGCAGCTTGAGCTAAATGGGCCACGGGGGCTGGCGGCGATGGGGGGGGGGGGGGCTGGAGGAATACGCACAGGGGCCGCAACGCAGAAGGGGGGGGCTCTGACATCCTCGGGGACTTGGACCCCGACTGACTAATGGCACTGAGAGTGCAGGGTATGGTCATGTGGGACGACAGAAGCTTCGTTGTTGAAGCACAATGGGCCAACGCAAGACATATCCTAGAACTGTCGCTACACCGTCGCTACACCCTGAACGCGAGAGAGCGCGTCGGTACACCCTGAACGCGAGAGGGCGACGCCGATGGCTCGCGCAAGCATAGGCCCTGAGATGGAACATGCATGTCGCCTACTGCCTACTCAATCCGAATCGGAGGGGGGCTCAGGCGAGGAAGAGAAACGATCAGAACCACCCATTCTGTCCGAGAGAGGCCCGTCCGTCGCGGGAACCAGGTCCTGCGCGGAGTCCTCGATGTCAGTGGAGGGAGAGCGCAAGGGAGCATTCGGGCACGGGCGAACGGCCTCCTTCGGCAGCACCTTCGCCTCGTCGTAGTAGTTTATGAGACCTATCTTGGAACCTAGCGCAACTGGGCCTGACCCCGAGACGAAACGATCTGGGACGAGCGTTGAGATTCTGGAGGTCAGTGAACAAACTGCAGGCTTCGCTTTCACCGAAGAGTTTCTTAACGCCTGATCCAATGCCAGATGATCTCGATGCTGACGCTGGCTTTTGCCGTGGTTTCCTGGGCGTAGTAGCTATGACTGTACTTTTAGACCTGGGCGCCATACCAATGGCTACACAGCGATCTATCATCTCTGAGCGCCGCAGGACAGGGGGGGCGACGTAGACAGTAAGCCATCGACAGATCTACCTCGGGCAACCTCGGAAGGGGGCCCCCGGGCCCGCCAAGGCCGTCCTGGGCTAGGCCGGGCAGCCCAGGGAACCGAACGGCGGCGCGCAGACGGCGCAAGAAATCTGTTCAGCACTTCGGATGTCACAAACAAGCGAAACTCACGATATCGGACTTTAAGAGCGCATGGGCCTCCTGGAAACACTGAAAGCCCGCCCACGGCGGCAGTGGCCCCAAGGGCCTCCTGATCGAAGGTTTGGTGGGATCGCCGCAAGGCTGTCGCATATTGTAGGGCGAGGACGGAGATTATTGTGAGAGGGTGAAGAGGGGGTGGAGCAAGGTTGGGGAGGATTTCCTCACTAGTATATTTGCGGAAGAATTGGTCATGTACACGTGACATATGCGACCCCCTGGCTTTGCCCCGCCCGCCTCTTTGTCCGGGAGCGTGATGGTTTTCCCTGCAGCGGTGCTTCGGGCGCGAAATGGAAGTTCCTCGGCCACCTTCGAGTTCTGTGCATTGAATACTGAGCACGCTGACGGTGGCGCTGTGTTGATGATGGCGATGAATACAGCGTCAGTGATGATGGTGGTGATGTTAATGGTGATGTCGGTAGTTGTGGCGGTGACGGTGATGATGCTTTCGAGTCTCTGTGTGGTTGTGTTGATGATGTCGGTTACGATGTTCATGGTGATGGGTACGATGCTGGCGGCTGCGTTAATCATGACTGTCATGTCGCGTACTATTGCCCTGTTAATGGTGATGCCCCCTCACCCCCGAGCGCCCCTATGCGGGATAGTGGTGGGATATCATGTATCAGTGGTGTTGGCCTGCCACGTGATGATGCCCCAGTTTGGCATGCCAGGTGATGGTGCCAAATTCTGGGCCTGCCAGACAGATTAATTAACCCTTAGTTCTCGTCACAGCCTTTTCATTCCTGGAATGGTAGGGTGCATGACCTGTTGTGCTGCTCGTGTCAGTGGTGTTTCCATGTTTAACTGATTAAGACGTTTCCTCACGATGGTGTGCTTTACGGCAGGAGTTGTGGTGGTCATCACGCTTCGCGTGGCACATCATCGTGCGCTCTCGCGCTCTCCCCGCCGCGATCCCGTTTTGGTGGACATTTTGGGGGTTTGCGCGGAGTGCGCGGCTGGGCATGGAGCGGCCTGGCCATTCTGGCGTGCCCGTTAATGCTGTGCGCGACGGTGTCCGCGCAGTCGCTCATCTCGCCCGCGAAGGGGCGCTGCTCGGTCGCGCGGCGCTTTGGAAACTCCCCAGCGGCATTCTGATGACCCTGAAGGATCCATACCCCCCCCCCCCCCCCTCGACCGCCATAGCTTGCGAATACAAAGCCCCCCCCCCCCCCAGCCCCACACCCCCACCCCGCCGCCGCCGCCACCACCGCCACCGCCCCTCTTGAACGCCAGAAGATCCCTCCCCGCTGTAGAACACCAAAGTCCCCAACGCTTCCAAGACGCGCAAGGCATTTGAGACGTTCGTAATGCCCCCCCCCCCCCCCGCCCACCCAGCCACTCTCCCACCCGCGAACGCTAAACTGGTCTATAGGAGCCCAGCGAAAGCCCAGGAGATCCCGCCCATGATTTCCCTAGCAGCCATTTGCAGCGTTGAAATAACATTACTTACGCGTCAACTGATGGCCGCTCGCATCGGAAGACGTCCTAAGAAAAGACCCCCCCCCATCGCCCGCGAAATGTCAGGGGGCGACCAGACCCACAAGAGGGAATGTGATTGCTTGATACCGGAAGGAGTATCTACAAACCTATGGGGCGGGGCTGTAAGTTTCTTGGACGACTCTGTCTGGCTCCCAAATGCACAAACAAGGCTCGGGCTCCTGGCAAAAGTACACGGGCACGTTTGTGACCTCTTGCCATTCAACAAGAATGTGTGGGCGCGCAATGAGCCCGCAAGGCTGGGCTCCGCGGCTGCAGGTCGGCTCGCTCGCTCGGTTTGGCCGCCGCAGAGCGCGCGGGCGCCCCGCAAGCTAGGCCGCCGCGGCCGCAGGCTTGGGCGCCCGTGGCTCGCTCGCTCGAGCGAGCGGGCGAGCGGGCGCCCCCCCCCCCAGACTAGGGCGGAATCTACAATGGGGCCCTCGTTGGCGACCTGAGACACGTTGCCCCACTGCCGATTCGCGAGCCCCTCGTCGCCGATCCTCTTGCCACCGCAACCCAAGTCCCCCAGCGCGTCTGGTAGCTCCAGAAACGCCAGAGGAATTGTTTCTTATGCGCCCGCTCCTTCATCAACCACCCCCGCAGAGATCGATCGCCCGCGTGGCAGACGCCGTTCGGCGCACGGCGACCGCAGAATGCGCAACTGCCGTCTTACTGAAGTAATACTACGATGGCGAAACTGGCCAATCCAGCGCCCCGCGCGAGCAATGCCCTTGCGAACTCCCCGTTCGCAAGGGCCGATCCAACCAGTTTGCTACGGAACTCGACCGACGCGCGGCAAACGCACGCGAGCGATTACGCGGCTGTAGCCCTTGCAATGGAGCGCCAGGGCACTGGGCTGCTGGAACAGCGAGGCGTCTGCCATGGAAGCGCTGGGGGAAGGGGGGGGGGGCAAGCGGGGCGCCCTGCGCGGGGGGGAAGCGGGGGGGGGGGGCTGAGTTCTGCGCGTTCTCGCCGTCGTCAATGGCGCGCCCCTGTCGCCCCGGAGCCCCGAGTGGAGGCAGCAAAGCCCCGCGGGCCAGCCCATGGCCCGAGCGATCCAAAGCCCTGGCCCGCAACCCTTGACTATATATATATATATATATATATATAATATATTATATA